ACACCATTTCGGTCGCATAGCGTTATATTTCGGTTACAATAACACGCGTTATCGCTGTTAACGAGCGGACTGTGAAAGTATTCGGGCGGCACTAGTGTTGGCTCAAAAGAAATTTCTTAGAAATTTCTCGGAGAAAGTTTCTAGAAATTTCTCCTGAACAAATTTCTCGAGAAATTTAATCAAAACATTGAATAATTTAGTTAATAAACTTAAAAACGAAATATGCCCAATTAAAATTTTTTATTAACGCATAATACATGTACTGAAATGATGAAACACATAAAAATACACAAAATTGGCTCCAATACCATAGACAGACCCAAAAAATAACGTAATAATAAACTCATGTAATTTATGTGAAGTCTTTGTACATTATATGAATTATAACAATCAGTGATTGTCAATCACATAGTATTTGGTGGGTTTCCCATAGAACACCAAATGATGCGATTAAAATCGAGCGATAACTTTGATTAGAAACAAAATAGTGTGTCCAAGATGTTTATTATGAACCATTAAATAATTAACAATTAAAGCTATTTAAAAAACATCAAAACTATAAATTAATTGATAAAATTAATATGAAAAAACGTGTCTATAGAAATCACATAGCTTACTGTGGGTTTCCCATAGAGATGAAATGTTGTATTGATTATTACGATTAAATGCCAATAAAATACTATTTTTGATACAGTCTGCACCGCATTTATCGGTTCCACATATAACGGAAAACCGCATATAACCGAATATTTTTTCTGCACCGGCAGCTCCTAAGTCTAAGTCTATTACCGGGAATAACAGAAAACCGGCTATAACCGAATAAAATTAGACTCACCGAGTGCTTCTGTTAAATGCGGTGCAGACTGTATATAATTAACTATTATTTTATAACTAATATAAACTTTAGTGCAATTCATTCATTATTTATTAAATGATATAATTATATTTTAAACTATTATTAATAATTATTTGGTAGAAACTTTAGCTATTTATCTCAAGTAAATAATTTATTTACAACTAAACATAAAAACTATACGTGTTTGTATTTATTATAGTAAATGTCTGATAAAAATCACGAATTTAAAAATAAATCGCACAATTTAAGTAAAAATACTGATTTAATTATAAACTCAATACTGTATTTACAATACACATAAAATAGGACCAAATTGGGGGTACTGACATACATAACGTCAAAACAATTCCCATAGAATATGATGGGTTTCCCATAGACGGAGAAATTTCTTTGAGAAATTTGTGAGAAATTTCTCGTAATTTTTGGAAATTTCTCATTTTGGCCAACACTAGCCGGCACTCGAAACCTATAGGTGTCGATGCCTTTCACGACACTCTCTTTTCAGTAACGATAGAATACAGATCTGAAAGATTTAAGATAATAGATTTTAGCCTTGATTCAGATATGAAAGTAGTTAATTAGATCTATGTGCTATGTTAAGTCAAAGTACAATGCTAACTATATGGGCAATAAAATTACTATAACAATAATTTTTGTACTATGTTGGGTTTTTTTTGAATTTATATAAAGCTTTAGTTAGCCCATTATTAGGATTGCAATCTCATATTAATGTTAATCTATTTTGTGAAAAATGCCGAAATTTTGGGTAACGTATAGCACTGCTTGTTTTGAATTAATTATATACATGTGATAACTACAATTAACAATGTTTAAATTTTATATTTAGAAATAAACTACTAAAACACTTGCGTAAATTGTAAACATATTTAATTAGGCTACTACTCAAAACATAAATTAAGAATCATTGAATAATTTAAACCATAATTATCATTTTGCTTATAGATAAAATGTTAAAAGTTTAAATTGATGCCCATTTATTAATATTCTACTAATACCTGCAAAGTTGCGGTTCAAACGTATAAATAGTATCGTCGTTTTCTAAATTAGGTTTGAATATCTGTCCGTCAGTTCCCCTCAATCTATTACAGTGATGGGCGTGAGTGTCGTTCAGCCAAACTTGCGTGGTTGGTTCATCGTGTGTATTCACATTTGTTAAGTATCTTTATTATTAATATTACATAATATTCAAGTTTAAATAACTTAATTTCTTACATCATAAATACTGTATCGATCACTTCTAATTAAACCACCAGATATTCCTATTAGTTTTTTGTACAGATCTAACTGTACGCCAGTAAATAGTATTTCTTTTACTTTTACATTGAACATTAATTTAATTTGATCTGGCACTAATTGGGCCACTACCGATGGAAAGATGGCACGCATTAGTTTTGAAAATTCATCCAAACCATCGCTGAACGCAAGTCCCTAATGGGTTTATTTATACGTATGTTTAAAATTTACTTTTAAACAAAATTCAGTTACTTATAATATGGTTTATAGAATTATTTTAAAAACACCATCATAAGTCTATAAACAATGGCAACGCTAAATTTATAAGACTTAAATAAAATCTGCAAATAATGCTAATTTATCATTTAAGAATCACTCAAATTGTGTGTGATTTTTATTTACAAATAACTAAACTTAATTAATAATTGATTACGCACCATTGTGGGAAAATTAACAATGGTAATAATGTCGTTCTCGTTCAAGCCATTAGATAAATCTGGCCTAAACTTATATGTTTTATTCTCGCGGTACGATATTTCATCATCGTAAAGTTCGATATTCTGTTTGAATGTGGTCACTTCGTAAACATACGGTCCCTTCTCAGCAAATTCAATGTCATTCAAACTGGTAAACGTGTCCGGATTAGTGCACACAAAGAAGTTGAATTTTGCCAAATAAGAACTAGGCGGATTCTGCCAACTCTCATAATCAAAGTGTAGTTCCTTTTAAACATAAAAATGATAACCATCGTTTTACCACCACCTTGTTTTGACAAATAAATTTAGTGTATGATAGAATTGCATTTAAAATTACCACATTAGCGTTGCATTCAATGAAATAAGGTAGTATTCCAAGTATAACATAAACCGCAATTAACAATTCAACTTACAATTTTGACATTTTTAAAAATGTAAATTTATATAATTATTTGGAAGTTATATAAATGTGGATAAAATTGTTTTTATAACTTGTATAAATACTTGTAATAATTATCGCATTTTATCGAGATTAATAAATGCACTCCAAATTACATGTAGCGAATGCACAAAGACTTTATAATTACAAGTACCGATAGTCATGTGAACCACATTATCGATATTTTCTCACAAGGATCTAGTTGTTTAATTATGTAATTATCAATTTATAAAATAATTTAGAATAAATAATGTAAATATAATACAAACAAATTAATATCTTGTGTTTGGATGACAAAACTTAATTGGCTGACTGTGAAATCAGTATTTTAATTAATCCGTGTAATATTCACAATATCCATATATGGAAAATATATTATTGAACATTAACTAAGTCAATTAGAATTATGTAATAGTAACTTAAATACATATATTTATTAATTTCCCGTTACTATATAAGTAGTGGAAGTTGTTTAATAAAATTGTTATAGTTTAAGTATATAAACACTTTAAATCATATAGAGCGAAATAATTAAATTTTCAATGACTGCTTTGTTGAGTAATTATTAATTTTCTTTAACCAATCATAAAATATAACAAATGAGTATACATCAAATATTACTTGTATCAATTTTATTTTAAACTAGGTGCAGCTATTTTATTGTTGGCCAACATACAATTAATACTAGCCAAATGCCCGGACCCGAGCGAAATACTACCATGTTATGGATGCGAAGATGGGTTCATCACGTGTTCGGGCGATGAAAACATAGATTTGATTAAAATATTTGACAAATTAAACAAAGCTTTAGATCCAAAAGAAAAGAATTTTTTATTATTCTACTTCAACAACACTGGAGTGACTCATATCAAGTCGAATACATTTGGCGATATTAGCTTTGCAAAAATTGTCATTGATCAAACAAACTTGGTTTACATTAACCCTAGCGCATTCACTGCATCCCATACAATGACTAAAGAATTAATTATCACATCAAACCCGCATTTAGAGCACGATATATACGAATTGATAAGTATATTCACAAACGTGGTTAATGTTGTTGAAACGGGTAACACAAAAATCACCATGGTGCCCAATAATGCGTTCGGCAATCAACCAAAAATTGTAACTTTAAATATTCAATCGGGCGAACAATCAATCGGCAGTTACGCGTTCAGAGGGTTATCCGGTTTAACAAGACTTAATCTTAATGACAATTCTCTGACTCATATCAGCGCTAATGCCTTTTCCATCGATGAGAAGAGCGGTAGTAATCTACAAATTTTCTTATACCATAATGATTTAAATGAAGACAGTTTTGAAACAGGCTCATTAGTTGGCATAAACAGGACTGTTGACATTTATATTACTAATGACCCTACATTGGATTGTAAGTTTCAATATTTGCCCCAGCACGTATTTCTACCATTTTTTAAAGAAAACAACAACGATGTCTATTTTGTTTCGAAATCCTATAAGTTTGATTGTCAGGATTGTAGATCTTATTGGATTAAACAAAATAATTTATTTAGCAAAATTGATTCCTTAAAGTGTTCTGGTGGTCAACCATTAAATGACTCTGGAAATTTTGCTCTTTGTTAAACAGAATAAAACTTGTTACATTAGATAATTTTAAGTAATACTTAATTTCATTAAAATTTGTATTAGTGGAAATGTTATTAATGGATAACTTGTTATATAAACTTGAAACTAAATCATATAGCAGATGTGACAATATACTAATTATTATATTTTAACAAATGAGATTAAAAAATAATATTGTATTTAAATAACTTTATCATTAATTATAATAAATTGTAACATTATATTACATTGTTTTGCTAATAGTAATAATAAAATATAAACAATTAATTGCTTTATTATATTTGATTTTATTTAGTATTGATATAACAAATATTAGTTTGTATTTTATTACATATTCCGTAATTACAGTTATAATTAATTAATTTCACATTTAGTGCACCTCTTCAAGCCAATACACGGGAACAATATATTCAATTGATTTATCCGTATTGGCTAATTGTCTGTTTAGGATTTTAAATGTAATTATTATATTAAGCATAATATACAACATAAGCGCATAACATTGTTAACTTCAATTCAGCTTAATGGTCAATAAATTAATATAAATTTTTAATTTGTTTTGGTTATTTCTTTCTAATTGAAGTTAATTTATGCATGTGCTTCACTAACATTAATATTGTATAACTTACGGATAGTATAATTTGAACGCCTCTTCATCTCTACCACTCATTCTAATACTCATTTGCATTCTTTTATGCATTTGTAAAGTTTTTCCTGTTATCTGAAATATAATATATATTATAAATATATTATTGTAATATTTATGCTATATTTACTACAAATTTTATACATAAATTGCCAAGATTTGAGTATTATGCTTATACTATAAAACTATTGCACTGTTAACAATAAATCAAATTGAATTATTAAATCGTAATACTAAATTTAAGTATATTATAATAATCTGAGCAAAGCGTTACATTATATAGAATGAACATAACACAAAATTCTGAGTAGCATCTTTTAGGTTATTGATAGCCAACGAACTTACTATTAGTAAGTTGGAGTAGTAAAGCCAAGTGTCACCTCAATATTAAAATTATATTTTAATGAAAAAAATTATATATTAAATATCATCGAATATGATTGATTCAAATATTACTAAAATTGTTGATAATCGCAAATATCATAAATCTCATTAAAATGTGATTTAATAGTTAAATGTCTGTTATTCTTTATTTTAAATGAAGTTTTGTGGATAGACTGAAAGCCAACCACTATAAAAATGGATAAGAAACTATTACGTTGACCTTCACGCAGTGTTTCTTGTTTAAACTGACAAACCTAAGTCTTTTCGCCGACCGTTGCGCCACCTATTCATGGCACATTGTGAATTTGAATCTGGCTAATCTAAAAAAACGTTGGCTATCAATATTTTAGGTGTTAGCTATCTATATAAAATACCGGTTCAATATCGAGATAAATGCCATAATTCTCATCATTCAATTCGTTGCGTGGCTTTAGCTCTGACTTAAATTGTTGGCGAAGACTGCGGTCGCCATTATTCCAATAGGGGTCCGACATTATAAGGGGTGCGCCGAGTGTTTGGTACTGACAGTGCGATATGTCTGTCACACCGTTTCGGTCGCATAGAGCGATGTTTCGGTTACAATAACACGCGTTATCGCTGTTAACGAGCGGACTGTGAAAGTATTCGGGCGGCACTCGAAACCTATAAGTGTCGATGCCTTTCACGACACTCTCCTTCCAGTAACGATAGAATACAGATCTGAAAGATTTTCATTAGGTTTTTGGCATTTTAAACCTTCATTCAGATATGGAACTTTTTTTAAGATCTATGGGCTATGCTAAGTCTATGTCTAATTTTTTCATTAAATTGTGAATATATTTAATTAGGGTACGATTCAAAACACGAATTATGAGATTATATATTATTAGTATTGCTTAACGCTTATAATAATGGATTCGTTGGCTTAAACCAAAATTATCATTTTTCTTATAGATAAAATTTTGAATGGATTAATATTCAAATACCTGCAAAGTTGCGGTTCAAACGTATAAATAGTGTCTCCCTTTTCCAAATTTGGTTTGAAAAACTGACCGTCAGTTCCCCTTAATTTATTACAGTGATGGGCGTGAGTATCGTTCATCCAAACTTTTGTGGTTGGTTCATCGTGCATTTTCACATTTGTTAAAAATCTTTATTGTAAAACAATTTAATATGTTTTTAGTTATGTTATAATAACTATAAATTAACAATGTTGATAGCAACAAACGTTTGATCTTGGAAGTGTGTAATCTGCCCTATGTCGTCTGCACTATATTTGCCATTGTTTATCGTCCATTTGGGCTCCAATAATGTTTTACCCTAAACATTTCAAATTTTATAATTAAATAATATTCAAACTTAAATAAATTAATTTCTCACATCATAAATACTGTATCGATCACTAGTAATTAAACCATCAGACAATGGTATTAGCATTTTGAACACATCTAACTGTACGCCAGTAAACAGTATTTCCTCTACTTTTACATTGAATAATAATTTATTCTGATCAGGCAACAATTTAGGTACTAGTTGTGGAAATATGGCACGCATTAATGGTGATATTGAATCCAAACCATCGTTAAACGCAATACCCTAAAAATTCATTTAAATGATTTCAAAAAAGTCATTTTAACCACAATTTAGTTATTGATAATATGGTTTATAGAATTGCTTGGCAAACCCCACCCCAGCCCTAGCCCAATGGAATTTAACGTCTGATGCAAACATAAGTTTAAGGACAATGCTATTCTTATAATAATGCTAAGTTTATGACACTTCACGTGTCACACGTGTATGATATCTGGTAATAATCTATTTGTAAGCGTTACTTGAATTATGGGTAACTTACAGCATTGCTTGTAATTAATGTCTAAAAATAACCAGGTCTGAACAACAATTTAACAATCATTTATTACGTACCATTGTAGGGAAATTCACAATGGTAACAGTGTCGTTCTCGTTCAAGCCATTAGATAAATCTTGCCTAAACTTATAAGATTTATTCTCGAGGTACGATATTTCATCATCGTAAAGTTCGATATTTTGTTTGGATGTGGTCACTTCGTAAACATACGGTCCTTTCTCAACAAAGTCAATATCATTCAAACTGGTAAAAATATCAGGATTGTTGCATACGAAAAAGGTGAATTTTGCCAAATAAGACCTCGGATTTTGCCAACTCTCGTAATCAAAGTGTAGTTCCTGTCAAAAATAAAAATTATTATCACGTTCTTAATTTGTTGTTTTGACAAATCACTTTAGTGCAATGAATTTAAATAATTGCATTTAAACTTACCTCATTAGGTTTGCCTTCAATATATTGTGGTAATATTCCAAGTATAACATAAACCGCAATTAACACTCTCATCCACAATTTTGTCATTTTGTAAAATGTAAATTTATGTAATTATTTAACAGTTATATGAATGATAATAAAATTTTTTCCACTTTTATATAGAGTATACTCATAATTATTATCACATAATATTAATATTATCGATATTATTTAATTCACACTAAATTATATGTAAAGTGTTTATTAGATTTTTAAACACAAGTATCGATTATCTTGTGAACCACCTTATCAATATATTCCCACAAAGATTTAACTGTTTAATTTTGTAAGATTTAATTATTTGCATTGTTACAAAATAAAATTAATAGCCTAATAATTTTAGTTTTAGCTCAATTCGTGCCAAAAAATAATATTTCTAAAATATTTAATATATTAAATTATTATTATAAAATACTGATACAGTATTCAATGTAAATTCCCTTTACCATTTACAATTTTCATGTCGCCGAGCTTATAGTCTTGAGTGGCCAGTCGTGTGGCCCGTATGCCGGGCGGATATAGGCGCAGGGTCTTCGATACGACTTGATCCAGATAGGTTAATGCTTGTAACGTGTCATAGTTAAATTGACCATTGCCATCCATAGCGGCCTTTAGCTCTTGTAGTCAGGGCTGTAGGACGAGCTCATACATGGCTATGGTTAGGGTTGTGGCAGTGGTCTCGTAGGCGGACATTAGTATCACGAATGTGTTGGCCCGCACCTCGTCGTCCGACATTTGTTTATGCGGTACGGCTTGGGTCGGGCCAAAGGGTTGGGGCTACCGGTGCCCGACTTGTCTGTGATAGCGCTTTCATTTATATGATTTTAATAATTTAAAAATTAACGTTATTATTAATATTACTACATTGAAATTATCAATGTGTTTCACATCGCCTATATTTACTACATTTTAACCTAATAAATTATTATTTTAAAATATCAAAAACTAATAATATTTTAAAAAGAATAGTAAAATTCTTAATTGTTTAAATGTTGTAAAATATTTATTTTGCGATGAATTATCATTTATATCGATCTTTCCGAATAATTTATAAATAAATTATTTTAAATTGGTAACTAATTTATTATAAATTATTGTGACAGTTTGTGATATAAAATCTCTCTCTCTCTCTCTCTCTCTCAGACAAAATTTTTAAAATGTAAAAATTTCAATAAACCATGCTAATAATGAGCACATCTATACCCGCAATGACGTAATTGGCTTCAGTGGTGTTGTAGTCGTCACGTGTGGCCACTCTATCATTGCGTGCGTCCATTAATAGCTGCAAAAAGTCTGAGTATTTGGCGCTTGAGTCAGACATCTCTTTACGCGTTGTTATCATTTTACTCATTAAATCATTGAAATATTGCAGACATTCTGGTTTTACAGTAGTGGTCACCTAGGTTAGAATAATTATTCTACAATAAAAACTTAAGTATTTTGTAATTAACCATATAATTAAGTGCCACACAAGTAAGCTATTTTGTTAACAATTATGATAACATTAAGTTTAAAACAGACTATATAAACGGTAAACAATAATCAAGTTAAATACATAGTTTATTTATTGTTAGTAAAAATAACTACAAGTGGGTGACAGTTGGACTGATGTATTAAGTAAACTTGATTCATATTGAAGTAAAAACTTTTTAAATGGAAAAGTTTTTTTAAACAAAATTTACCAATTTTAATATGTTTTGTTAATAATTGCAAAATTATTGATAATATTTATCATGTTAATTAACTCTGTATAGACTGCCCCAAAATTGGTTATTATTCAAAAGCTTTTATTTAATTAATTTTTATTTTATGACTAATTTACAGTTTGTGTGATAAATTATGTTTTTGATGTCTATAATTATATAATATTTTGTATTTTTACAAATTAATTTTATTAAATAATTTTCATTGCAAAATACGATTAGTTTATTTTACTGTTAATGTGCACTAAAGTATTGTACTTTATTAAATAGACAATATCACAATAATTCAATTCACTATAATGTTTGTGCGCTTTGATAGTTAAATTAAATTACATTAAGCTAGTTTAATAATAATTAAATAAACTATTTGTAGTGTTATTTAAGCAAAATTATTTATTCATATATTTTGCCATATTTATTGAGCCAGTTCACTTCTTGTAGTGGTTCTGGTATGGTGAAAAATCTTAGAACATTACATAATAATAGTATAGGTGTTGGCCAAGGTATGCCCAGGTTGATACTAGTAATATTTTTAATTAATATAATTTTTACAATCGAAAAAATTAGTAAAATAATATTTAATTAAAATTTTAAATAAACTTTTTTAAAATCGTAACTTTTATTCTAAACTCACCTTGCTCAATATCCATGCACGATAGATCTATAATGTCAATGGGGTTGTTGAGCGTGCATTATCTGGTAATATAATGCACGTACATTATCTGGTTATAAATTTTTGGCTATTCGAATGCTTAAGGGCTTTTTGATAAATTTACACTTATCTATTTGAGGGCATATTGTCTTTAATTGTATGATAATAATATTAATAAGATAATTTACATTAAGTAGTTTACAATTAATAATACAGTATACGTGCACATTAAATTTACATTAATTGAGATTATGATTATTCTTGTCTTGAGTTCTGTATAATTGTTATTTTGTATAACGACTTATAATAATTGAATAACTGCTAATCAGTATTTTTATCGATTCTGGTAAAATTCATTATATCCATATATGGAAAATATATCACTGAACATTAAATAAGCTAATTAGATTTATTTTGCAATAACTTAATGACATATATTGAATTAATATATAGCTAAAAATTATCTAGAGTGTTAGTACAAGCTCGCCAAGTACAATTATACTTGATAGTAAAATCTGAATGTGTATTTACTTCATGTCTGTTAATTATGATTGTTGTAGCGATTGTGTTATAAATATGAAATGTGGTAAGTTTTGTGTTAATAAAATTGCTGTATTGTAAAATACAATATAGTGCATTGGGCACAAAGCTAATCACATTTTTAGCTAGTCGAATAATTGTTAAATCTAACAACTTGAGATATAATCAAATTCTGGAAACTGACATACATTTGTAACATTTTATTTCTGAGTCAGTATTCAATATTATTGATGAATTTTTCGTTACTATATAAGTAGTGGAATTTGTTAAATAAATTTATTATAAAGCTTTAGTTTAAGTATATAAACACTTTAAATCATACAGAGCTAAATAAATAAAATTTCAATGACTCCGCTGTTGAGTAAGTGTTAATAAATTATTAAGCTTTAAACAATAATACAAACATAAACTATAATTTATAAATATAAACTAAATCACACTTGCAAACACACATTTATATTTCAGAATTAAGTACGGCTGTATTATTGTTGGCCAACATACAACTAATACTAGGCAAATGCCCGGACCCGAGAGAAATACTACCATGTTATGGATGCGAAGATAGTTTCATCGCGTGTTCGGGCGATGAGAACATAGATTTGGTCAAAATATTTGAAAAATTAAACAAAGCGTTGGAACCGAAAGAAAAGAATTTTGTATTATTCCACTTCAACAACACTGGAGTGACTCATATCAACGCTAATACTTTTGGCGATATTAGCTTTGCAAAAATTATCATTGATCAAACCAACTTGGTCTACATTAACCCTGCTGCATTCTCCGCATCGCGTACTGTGACCAAAGAATTAACGATTACATCAAATCCGCATTTGGAGCGCGATATATACCAACTAATTAGTATATTCACAAACGTGGTCAATGTTGTCGAAGTGGGTAACACAAAAATCACCATGGTGCCCGATAACGCGTTTGGCAATCAACCCAAAATTGTCAATTTACAAATACGATCGAGCGAACAATCAATAGGCAGTTACGCGTTCAGAGGGTTATCCGGTTTAACAAATCTTAATCTTAATGACAATTCTCTGACTCATATCAGCGCCAATGCCTTTTCCATCGACGAGAAGAGCGGTAATCAACTCGTTATCCATTTATACCACAATCATTTAAATGAGGACAGTTTTGAAACAGGCTCATTAGTTGGCATAAACAGGCCCACTTATATCTATGTTACTAATGACATTGGGTTGGATTGTAAGTTTAAATATTTGCCCCAGCACATATTTCTACCATTCTTAAAAGGAAATAATTATGTCCATTTTCATTCTAAATCATATCAGTTTGATTGTCAGGATTGTAGATCTTATTGGATAAAACAGAATGATTTATTTAGCAAAATCAACTACTTAATGTGTAATAACAATAAACCGTTAAATGACACTGGTAATTTTGCTCTTTGTTGAAATATTATAAAACGATTTAAACTTAAATTTATTGAAAATTGTTATTTTTAGTAAAATTATTGAAAAATTTGTTCGATTAAATTTATTAACAATTGATATTTGTTTAAAATATAATTTATTTACAAATAATTACATCAAGCCTGGCGTTCAGTTTCTATTTGTAAATATAATAACAAATAACGTATTATTTCTTAACTGTTGTTATATTAATAGTGTATAATGTTATTATATAAATTGTTATAAAATTTAATTATTTTTATATTATTAGCCTCTCTCTCTCTCTCTCTCTCTCTCTCTCTCTTTCAATTACTCAACTGATGATTTATTAACTAAAATTAATCATGATAATTGTCACAATAACTTCTATAAATTAATTTTTATTTTTGAAACTTGTTTGTTTATTAAATTAATGTAATCTGTTTTGCTAATAGAAATAATAAAATATAAACAAGAAATTGATTTATTATAAATGATTTCATTTACTATTAATTTAACAAAATATTATCATGTTATGAATTTTATAATATTGATTCATTACTTGTTCGGGCGATGAAAACATAAATTAAAAATTTTTAGTCAAAAAATTAGAAATTTAAAAGCTTTAGAACCGAAGTAAAAGAATTTTTTATATTTGAATCAAATAATAC